TTGTGTTTATTCGCGTATTAACGCGGATCCTAATACAGTTTAATATAAAACTGCTTTGATTTCAGTTGTACTTCTATTGTTCCTTCAATTTGCAAGTGTGGTATAACCTATCAACGAGAGTAAAGTTCTATCATTCACGGAATTGTATTGAATCTCGGAACAGTTCAATCTTCATTAAATCTTGGTTCAATTCGGGTTTGGCCAAAATTTTAGTTTAATTGGTTTTCTTAACCACAATTAGTTATATGGACTTTAATATTGGTTTAATGGGCTGCTAACTAAAAAAACAAAACAAAAACACTTGGACTTGGCCTTCTATCCTTTTTCTAATTGGGAAAATTGCAAAAATATCATCTTTTAGGTGCACATTTGCAAAAATACTACTTATGAGTGTTCATTTGCAAAAATACTACTAATTATAGATTTTTAAACCCTATATCTCAAAATTCTAAACACTAAAAAATGTTTTGACCCCTAAACCCCCCTAAACCCTCATAACTAAACCCTAATAGAACATAGTTAACCTAAACATAAATCATATAAAGAAAAAATAATTTTGAAAAAGTAGCATTTTTGTAAAGATTTTAAAAGTGTGGCATTTTTTGAAATTTCTCTTTCTAATTCTCATGTTTTTCAAAATGCGATTCAGATTCTTGATGTTAAAAACCCTAATAGCCTAGGACCTTTATATTCGTTCAGCGGACTCGACACAAACCCTAATAAAGCTTTGGTTCCCAATTTGGCGAACCTGAATTACTTTGAGAAGATGAAGATGATATCACTTTGCTCCGGGGAATGATTGATTTTCACGATAAGGCAAGAAACCAATTCATTGGGTTTGAATAAAAAGTATATCGATAAAATCAATCATACCTTTGAGTAGTGTGATCTCATCTTTACTAAAATCTTTGGGGTAATAATGGTGTCAAATAGTTCTTTACGATATGACTCTCGAATCTGGTGTTAATTTTTCCTTACGAACAGTTTTTGGTGTCAAAAAGTTTTAGGTTTTATCTGTTTTAGGTGAGATGCAATGCCTCTTTTGTCTACCTTTCTAGTTCATCTTATGACTCTAATTAGCTGCTATATTGTTTCATGATTGTTCTGTATCGGGTAAAGGAAATTGTCTTGCATATTGAGCAAATCAGGGTTTAACACCTTTTGAGCACAAAGTTTTGATGGTCTAATACTTTTTTGTGGTAGATTCTAAGTTTGGATGCTTAAAATTCAAACAAGCACTTTTCAAATACATGGTGTTGATTTTATCAGTGAATTAGTGTTTGATGCTTTTCATGGCCTAAAGCAGCTCTACGATCTTGGCTACTCTCCAACGGACAATATCACAACGCTTTGGTATACATCTGATTCTTCTTAACATCTCAAAACATTCTACCTTGCATTTTTTCGTCTTACGCCATATTCGTTCTATAGGAAACTGGATTTGCGCATGTGAGAATCTGTGATGGAGTTGGGTCATATCTTCAGCTATGTTGTGGCCATCTGGCTAAGTTAGCCATTGTTCGTGAAAATCGCTAAAGCTAAGGTAAATTCCACTCAGACTATTTTAATTTGAAGCTTAATCCTAACCATTTTGGTTATTTTTATAGGGAGAATTATACAAATAGACCAATTATAATATGAAAATTAAAGGAATAGGCCACATTTTTATATATTAAAAAAAGAGATGACTACAGAAAAGTCATAGAAACTCATTTCTAAATACAAAAATATCACAAACCACTTTTCACATACAAATATATCACTTACAAAAAAATCGGATGAAAATACCCTTACTTTTCGTCTATCATTGCATTTAATACTCTGCATTAAATGTTTCTACTTTATGTCACATCTCAGAACTCACGTACACTATCGTTTGTTTCATGAACGTACACTATCAAATACATACGTTAAATGTTTCAGCTTTATGTCATATATGTACACTACTATCGTGTGTTTGATGTACGTACACTATCTATGTAAACAATATGCACATACGAATATCATACACACTCAATATATA